GGAATTATAATTGAAACAAAAGTTAATAAGCATATTGTTGCTAAAAATCAAAACATATACTAGGATATGAGAAACACTAAAATTCGGGGTTCGAACTTTTTTGTAGGTACAGCACAGTTAGGCAATTTTATAGCTTTGTACTTAGAAAAAAAAATGTTTTAGAATGTGAAAATAAAAAGCAAAAACGGTCTTATTTAATGAATTACAAGTGTTCAACAAATAAAAAAATTAGGTGCATTCCTGTGAATTACATTTAAATTTTTTGACGTAAAGTTTTTATTGATTATTTGGACTTTAGCATAGTTGGTTTGTTTTATTACTTATTTTTTACTTAAGTTATTGACTGCTGTAGAACTGGAGTTTTTATGTTTAGATAGCGAAGTCATTCTAATCACAACGTTTTGTTGTATGTCGTAGACGTTACAAATACATACATATACGATTTTGAATATGTAAATAAGCAAGTCATGTGATAATTAGAGCCGACTTAAAGACATGTTAGGACGGAACGTATCAGAACTACATTTTCTCACTGCTTGGCGTTTTTTACACTTAGATTAAAAAGACGTTTTCAGATCGTGGATTTAGAATTTCCAAGTCGCAATATTCCTTGTAATAATGGCATTGGAAAAGAGAGGAATATGAATCAAGTTGTGATCCAGGATCGTACAGAATGAGACCTGCAACAAGTCGTACTCCACCTGTGGAAAGTAAAGTGCAGCGAACGTCTACCAGAAGATAAGAATACACGAACACACGGGTTAGTGGTAATAGTACGCAACATTATACAGAAGGATTCTCTGTCTGGAAATGCGACACAAGTCATTCACGTGCAAACAAACCGTCACACATCTCAAGCATTTGGAGAATGAAACGGGTGTTCATGCTATTCCATTTCTATGGATTTCTCGGCACTAAGAAGCCAGCATTCTCATACACTATATGGCTTATGAAAATAAAGCAGGAAGGAGGGTGTGTGCCTCAGACGTGAAAGCCTTACAATGTAGCTTTTTGCAATAGCAACTACGCTGCAGATGCACAGTCGTCAGAAAGAACATGCCTGGCCATGAAAATACGGACTTTAACGACGTGGTGATGTTTAAATATCGTTTAAATATTACGCACTAAACTTCTGTATTCGCGAATTTAGTGTATTTGTTTGTTTGGTTTGAATTTAGCGCAAAGCTAAACGAAGTCTATCAGCGCAAGCCGTCCCTAATTTTACAGCTATAGAATAGAGAGAATGCAGCTAGTCAACATCACCCACCGCCAACTCTTGGGCTACTCTTGTACTAAGGAATAGTGGGATTAACCGTCACATTATAACGACCCCATGGCTGAAAGGGCAAGCATGTTTGGTGTGACGGGGATTCAAACCCGCAACCTACAGAGTGCGAGTATAGCTCCTTAACCACCAGGCCGTGCCAGGCCCGTGAGTATAGTGTAATGGCTAATGGATTCATTCGGGTTGATTTGACCAATAATATAATCATAATTCTTAACATTACAGTATTTGAATCATACAAAATACACGTAAATTTAAGTAATTTCTCTGCTACAATATAAAGAAGTAGGAAGTAGCTGGAGAAAATAATATCCTTATTATGATTATTACCATTATATGCTAAAGTAATCCAACATAACGTGACAAGAATAGGACTATGTTATTTATATTATCCTTTTAATTTATCATTTCAAAATATTTAAATTATTTCAAAGAGGAGCCTTTCAACAAAGTAGACATAACTTGTGTCGAGTGACCATTGTGACTTAAGTTTCAAGCCTACGCAACATAATAGGTTTAGTCAGTTTATCTCTCAAAGCTACATAAGAGCTATCTGTGCGGAAGTGTTCCTGATTTTGAACGGGTAGACTAAAGGAAAAATTAGCCAGTGAAAGCACCCACCGCCAACGCTTACTAGACCGAAAAATTAGCTTTGATTTCCACTCGTATAGTACAAACATAATTACAAAGTACAGGAAGGTATTTCGCGGTAACGGGACGCGAACCACGATTCCTTGGATATACATACCAGGCACGCTAGCGAGTACGTCACGCTCGACGGTGTCAATTGGATTATGATAATCGGTATACTTTACTACAGAACTACCCAAACAACATTAAGTGGAATATATTTCTATTTGTGTAGAAGAAATATACGTATCAAGCGATGGTTTTCAAAGGTTCTGCATAGAACAATAAAGAACGAAAAGAAAAAATAATAACTAACTTTATGCAACATGCTCCGGATTTTTGTGTAAGGCTTCTTTATCATTATGTTTGTCAATAGACAAATGGTTAGTATATAGCTTTCTAATTTAGGTGTCTTTAATTGTATATTTTTAATACCAAATCACTATAATTTTCGCTTTACTTTAAATATTTTATCACTAAAATAACTATGAAAATGTAGCTTTCAATGGTTTCTGTGTTACAGACCATACAAAAATCACTAAGCCACTAACAAATGAAAAAAAAGAAAGTTTTTGAATATGTCATTTGCGAATACTTGGCGATATAAACGGGTAAAAGTTTGGCTTTGAGCTATCAGTTATGAAAAGTAGTTGTATGTCATAAGGAAATTCCATACTTATCTGTACAAAGGAATATTTTATTAATGTATTCGCGTTTACAATAAATGTTACCTTTAAATAGTTGTTGTCCTGTCCTACTTGTGAATTCTTTATTTGAAGAAAGGGACATTCTGTGAACGTTTAAGAGGAGTTTATAAAACTAATGGCGTTAATCAAACGACACTCTTTACCGTCTTATACTAAAGAAAACACCAGAATAAAAATAGTAAGCACAGATCTGGAAAACTGTAGCGCAATTA